GTCATGGCCAGGAGTATGGTCTTAATTTGCTCCTGGAGGAGGGCTGTCCTGGCACCTCCTCCTATTGCCAGGCTGGGTTTCGTTTGCTTGAACGAGAGCTGGGTTATCTTTCCAGCGGTGCCTCCAATTTTCACTGCTCATCGCAGGTACGTGGGGTGCTGTCTTTCAGAGTTATCGTACTCACACGCAGAAAGGAGAAGCAGGGCACCCATTGCGTCCCGAGGCTGAGCATCACGGTGCATCCCAGGGCCGCGGGGAGGAGAGCTCACAGCTCACGGCAGGAACCGGTCCAGCCCAGCTCAGCCCTGCCGAACTCGAATTGAGCAATGGAGTTGGGGGTTTGGCAAGGAGGTGGTTCTAGATCGGGTTCTAGCTCGCTTGGTGGTTCTAGATCAGGTTCTAGGTCGCTTTATAGGTCTACATCAGGTTCTTACCCACTTGTTGGTTCTAGATCATGCTCTAGGTAACTTTGAGGTTCTAGATTGGGTTCTATATCACTTTGGCGGTCTAGATCTAATCCAAGATCTGATTCTAGGTTACCTTATGCCTCTAGATAGTTCCAGAGCTGATTCTAGAGATCATTCTAGAGCACATTCGAGATCATGTTATCATTCACGATAACATTCTAGAGCTGATTCTAGATCACTTTATGGCTCTAGATTGGGGTAATGGGTTTAAACTGGAAGAGTGCAGATTTAGACTAGATATTAGAAGAAGTTCTTTACTGTGCGAGTGATGAGGCAGTGGCCCAGGGTGCCCAGAGAAGCTGTGGATGCCCCATCCCTGGAGGGGTTCACGGCCAGGCTGGATGAGGCTTTGGGCAACCTGGGCTGGTGGGAGGTGTCCCTGCCCATGGCAGGGGGTTGGATTTAGATGATCTTTAAGGTCCCTTCCAACCCAAACCGTTCTGTGATTCTGTGATTCTAATGCCAATGATTTTAAAGGATGAGAAACAGAAGCACGAGGGATTGGGATGAATCTCCCCAGAGAGGACTCGTGCCAGCAGAGCTGGCTGGAAGGAAGAAGGGCCCGTCAGCGTGGATGGGGAAGGACAGACAAGCTCGTCTGCAGCCCAGAGGCAAACGCCGTGTTCAATATCTCCGTTTCCATGCTCAGCTGTCACTATTCGCTATTCAGTGAAACCTTCACTGTGCAGTGCAGCTCCTCGGTGCCGGCAGACAGGCTCTAAACCCCACGAGCTGCAGCACAGCACCCCAGATGAAGGAGCAGAAGAAACAAGGGCTGCTCTGGACAGTGGCTGTCCTGGTGGAGCTGCCCATCCTCTTTTCCCAGTCAATCTCCTTAGCTTACATCTTAGATACACCAAGAGAAAGCTCTTCCTCACTTGGAGAAAGGCTCCTCTGCCACAGCTGACCAGCAAAAAAATCTCTCTTCAGATCCTTCTTTTCCTGCCTGGTGTCTCTCTGCCTCACACGAGGCTCACCACGGATCCTTTCATCTCCCAGACTACGCTTGTGTTAACAAATTCTCTTTGAAAACGAAGTGCTGAGCACCACTGACATCTGGGCGGAGCTGAGCGTGCTTCAACCATCTCTAGATACAGAATCATCACAGGCTCTTCAAAGAACCATCAACTGCGGGCAAGTCTGCAAGAGAAGACTGCTGTAAAGCAACCCCGCACCAGGGAGCTTGCAGTGTTTTTTCAGAGCATCTGCTAAATCACTCAATTAACGCTCGTTCCACTTTAAGTGCACCACACGCACAAGGAGGAAAAGAAAAGAAAAAAAAAGCTGGTTTTCCAGATTTCATAAGCAACTTGAGAGTGACCACATATGATGATGAGGCCCAGCACACCTCCAGCAGCTGGGGATGAAGATCTGAAACGAGACCTGAGCATCTCTGTACCACACCATTACCATGGGATGCTTGGACGTGGACAGCCAGGTGCTACAGCTACTGGTACAAACTGGGATAATGCAACATAAAGAAGAAACAGATACCCTATGCGTTAAAAAAATTAATCTAGAGCAATCCATCTAGAGCAGCACGTTCTGCAAAACCCATGACAGAGCAGCTTTCCACAAAGGACATCCAACTACCGTGTGCTGTAAGGAGCCCACACGACAGTATGGACTGGATACACTGCCATGTGTCTCTTGCTTCGACACCAATTTTTCCGTTGACATCACTGTGATTT